AGTAATTTTTTTAGAAGGATTCTTATTATATGAATATTTTTGAATAATTTGTATTTTTCAATTATTTTTGAAATTAATGATTTTTATGTTACTATTATAACAGTACGAAGTAGAAAAATAAAAATATACAAATATTATAATACGACAGGGTGAAACCCGAGTTGCAAAATAGAAAAATCCGCTTTTTTATTTATATCATGTGAAATCCACTTTTTTTGCAATGACTATGTGAAATCCACTTTTTATTGGTCATGATAGGGTGAAACCCAAGTTGCAAAATAGAAAAATCCACTTTTTATTGGTCATGTCATGTAGAATCTGTGATGACTGTATAAAATCCACTTTTTATTGACCACATCATATGAAATCTGCTTCATTCATGTAAAATTTACTACATCGGAACAAGAGACGCACAACTTCAGCAAAAAAGAAACAAGATGTAAAGTGTCTAGTATAAGACTTGTTGTTACCATATACCTTTTTTGAAACAATTCAGGTAATAAGACACGTGAAATCACGTCGATATCAGGAGATAATAGTATCACGTTAAGATGTTAATACCAAATTACTTGTCACTAATAATGGATGACCTCTCTTTCTCATCCACTAGTATCATCAAGTCCAAGGCAAAAAGTATAGTTTGGCAGCCATTACTGCCAAACATTCAATGCATACAAGTATCACTTACAGAGATGCTTTCAGTACTAGATTTATACATGTTTGACATAACGTTATTAGGAGGTGATAATTTGAGTAAAGGTTATGAAATTTTGCCAAAGAACTGTATATATAAGGGTCGGGTAAGACAGGGAGATGTGAAAGCTATCACGCTTGTAGACAAGAACGCAAAACAATGTTTTCGTTTAAAGAATGCATATATGGAATACCTTGGATGTTCTACTTGGGTATATAAAATTTCATTTTTCTTTAGATTAATTTTACAAAATACTAATTTTTCTTCTCTTATAGAATGATTGTCGCAAGGACAGGTGCAACTGGAAAGACTGTATCGTAGTTCTCCAGGACAAGTTGCTCAATCTGTGTAATATTGAATATCATGGTGATCATGATTCTGACCACATCCAGCAAAAACCACATTGAATGGCAATATTAGTTAGGAAAACAATCTTAAGCAGAGCTACAAGTGCAACTTCTTCAGTAATGGTGACAGATAAATTCAAAAAAGCAAATATGAACTTGAAAAAATTTGCATTTCAACTTATATTGTTTATTTTTCAGAATTTATGAATAATGCGAAGATTCTCAGCATAACCTCCAACACGTCTGTTAACCAAGTTCAACCAACTTCTACCTGATTTGCACCCAATCTTGAGACAATTCAAAATGCTCTCAAATATGATAGAAAGCTGCATTATCCAAGTATACTAGAATTTGAAAAGGTAAGAAATTGTTTTTTATTCCTTTTTTATTTTGTCTGTATTTAATTTCATTTTGATCA